AAAGCAGAAATTAAAAATTTTAGAGGGATTCCTTATGCTAAAATAAGTTGCAGTTAACACCCCACAAATCTCAAGCTTTTACCTTCAAATATGATTTTTCAGGCACAAACTGAGTGCATTAACTCATCTTGAAACCAATACAACTACTAGACATAGTTAAATGAGAACATAATATGTGGTAGGCCTGTGTAACCTATGAATATCCAAAGTAAATACTGCCCACCATCCATAGAGGTTGATCTTAATTTGATTGACATTGCTCAGATTCCAGCCAATCACATCTTTTGGGGATATACTATGAATTAAGGAACTACAGTAACCGCCTCTAATCCCCAGCTCATGACATTATTTCTATGCTGCTTCCATGGGCCAGCCTCCTTCCCTAAGGTGTCAAATATTGGTTCCATCTCTCTATGTTCCAATTCTCCACTTCTGACTTTTTTTTAGCCTTTTACTTGTTGCAGAGAGTAAGTATTAATTGCTAGCTATTAATTACTCATTACAGTAGTACTATTAATTAATTACAATAGTAAGGATCTATTACTATTACTGAGGATTTACTACTATTATCATTGTAAGGATCAACTGGTTTACAAATGGAGAAGAAAATGGGGAAGGAAAATGGGGAAAGAAAAAAAAAGCCAAAGAGTTGAAACAAGAAAGAATGGGGAGAATGAAAGACATGAAGACTGAAAAGGTGCTTACGGTACATGATTTTTTGCTGCATAAACTAACAATTCTCTTAGAATGACATTACAATAAGTGTGTATGTGTGTGTGTTGAGAATATTGGGAGAAAGTATGCAGTACTTTAGGATTTGGACTCATCTATTATTGCTCCCCCTGGCAGAGAGTTATTGAAGTAATGTAGCCTTGGCTAAAACAGCAACTCTCTGACTTGTCCAGACTCCAACTAGTGATTCACTGATACTAATGTGCAGAATACCAATAAAGGAGAATATTTGTAGTTCAGGGTTGAACTGTGCAGTCTTTGGTGCCCTCTGAGCTTGGTTATTTTCTTGGAGATGTTTCATTACCCAAACTAAATAACATAATCAGTGGTAGTCTAGTGCTGATGATGTTACGTGGTTTGGGTAATGAAACTTCTGCAAGAAAATAACCAAACTCTGAGAGCACCAAGGATCCTTAGGAGTCTTAGTAATAATGAGATCATGTTGCTCTGGATATTAAAGTAATGGACAGCCCTTTGGCAAATATGCACCTATACTGTAGACTGCATGTTGAGAATGGGATTGGGTTAAATCATTTTTAATATTCATTTGCTTACTAAATTTATATGGCTATACATCTTATATAAGCACCTCTAAGCAGCTAGCATAATAAATATATCAGCACAATAATGGGACATGATAAATAACACATAACATTAAAAAAGAAGCAATCAACAACAAATCCACCCATCTTCTTCCTAGTTCCCACACAGGAGAGAAAAGGACTTATGAAAGACCAGCAGAGTTGGGGCTAATCTAATCTCAGGAAAAATGGTATTCCAGAGGGTAAGTGGTGCTACAGAACATCAGGCCCATTTCCTGATGGTGTAACATGAGAGTACTAAGGCGCAGTCATAAATTGCTGGTGTTGCTGCATTCTGAACTGATTTCAGCTTCTGAATTTTCTTCAAAGGCAACCCCATGTAGAGAGCATTGCAGTAATCTACTTGGGAGTGTCCAGAACACGAGTGGCAGCATGCAGTGCCATCTGACCCGGAAAGAATGAAATTAGTATATAATCGAATTGTCCAGAACTCTGGTAGTTCCCCAGTGCTCCAGGATCTTTGAAAAATATAGTTCAGTGGTTCTGAGATCACATCTGCTGGTTCCTTCAGAACCTTGAGGTGTAATCAATCTGGTTCTGGTGATATGAACTCATCTAGGGTGGACAGGTGCTCACCATTTTCTTGTCTATTTTAACTTGTGTTTCTAATCTATTTTTTTACAGTACTGTTTTTGATAGATTGGACTGTTTTTTTCCTTTGTGTAAAGATGGATGTAAAAACAAGTTAAATAGTTCTGCTTTCTCCCTGTTGCTTGTCACCTTCTTGCCACTTTCTCCCACTAATGGACCAATCATTTCCTTAACTTTTTCTTCTTTTTTACATGTTGAAAGCAGCTTATTTGTTATTTTTTAATTTGTCGCAAGCCTTAGTTCATTTTGAGCCTTAGCTTTTCTCACTTCATTTTTGCAGGCTCGGGCTATTTGCTGATATTCTGCCTTAGTTATGTGCCCCTCTTTCCACTTTTTATACTTGTCCTTTTTGCTTTCAGTTTCTTAGAGAGTTCTTTATGCAGCCATGCTGGTTTCTTTTGAGAGCTGTTATTTTTCTTTTTTGTTGGTATAGAAAAACCAAATGCACAGGTACAGTATAGGTGGTACAATAGTAGTAACTGTGAGAGGCATCTTGGAGTCCTAGTGGACAATCACTTAAATATAAGTCAGCAGTGTGCTGCAGCTGCCAAAAAAAGCCAACACAGTGCTAGGCTGCATTAACCCCAAGGTTCCTGTAGCTTCAACACCTTTTATCATTTCATCTCTGTTAGTGAGAATTAGGTCTAACATGGCTAATCCCCTAATTCCCTAGCTGTGTGCTAGGTTTGTCAGGAATCTGTTTGATCTTCCACTTGGTGCAGAGTTTGTCTCCCAGCTGATGTCAGGATAATTAACATCCCCCATTACTATTGTGATGTGCTTCCTACATATCTTAGTTAGCTGACTAGCAAAAAGTTCATCTATTTCCTCTGTTTGGTTGGGTGGCCCATAGCAGGGGTCCCCAACCCCTGGTCCATGGGCTAGTACCAGGCTGCGGCATGCTAGCAACTGGTCTGCACAAACAAGCAAAGTCCCATCCACGAGATGCAGGCAGCACACAAAACCACACACCCTCCGGTCCACGGAAAAACCTCTCTCCATGGAACCGGTCCCTGGTGCCCAAAAGGTTGAGGACCTCTGGCCTATAGTATACACCTATGGCAATGTCATTCCCCCCCTTTTATATTGACCCAAATGCATTCAAAACTGTTTTCATCATTGTTGTGCTCTATTTCTTTAGATATGTACTTATTTTTTATATAGAGAGCAACCCCACCTTTTCTTTTATTTGGTCTTTCTTTCAAATAATTTAAATCCGTCTAGCTGTATGTTTCTTTTGTGGGTTTCATCCCACCAAGTTTCTGTACTGGCAATAATATCATATCTGCCCTCATTTATCTGAATTTCTAAGTCACTCTGTTTATTGCTCATACTCAGTACATTGGTGTATAGACATTTTGAGTCCTTTATGACTGACCCTGTGTTTACTTTCTACATAACCTGTGTGGTGCCTGAGTTCCGTTATTTCATTAGTGCACTTGGTGTGGTACTCACTATTAAAAGCTTGATTTTGTTTGACAGCAAGGTTGATATTCTTATCTGCATGCACATCTATGTTGCATGCACTGATAACCCTATTATTTTTAGATTGCCAGGGACAGGAATGTTCTGTATCAATTAACTCAGTGTCCCTGTTGTTCAGTTTAAATATTTAATTCTAACATAAACAAAAATCACGTGAATAATTTCAAATTCCAATAAAACAATCTTTTACTTTTTAATTTGAGCTAATTAAGTTTCTTATCCTCTGATTTCTTAATCTAAACAGCATATTTGTCTCTAAATTATTTCTAAATTTTTCATTCAGAAATAGGGCAAAAGTTAATAATAGATCACATATTTTGCAAGCATGAATTCTATATCCACACCTCCAGATTAGGTCAGCCTATTTAGACCCCTAGAGATCTATATAGTGTATAACAGACATTATATTAATAGGTATTTTCTATTCTATATACCTATTAGTAGATACTTTCTGCTGGAAAAGAAAAAGAAATTGTTTCTCAGAAATTTCTAATAAAAAGTACATTCAGGTTGCATGCAGTGGATTGTCCATCATTAATATAAATGATATTAAGGTGAATGAGCTGTACTTAGCTGTTATTCTAAGATAGAGAGTGTAATGTACAATATATTATAGATCAATAATTATCTGCTTTTTAAATATATTGTCTGAATTATGATTTTTCATTTTTAATCTTCATGCTTACCCACACAGAGGTTGCCCAGAAGAAATTTCTATGGATCTGCAGTGAGAAATTCCCAGTGGATTGTGCCTAATACCTTCAGAAAGCCCATAAATGGAGGAAACCAAAACAACCTCTCTTCACCACCCTTTGTCCCATCTTCTGGCTAATATTATATTGAGTCTGGCCTTGCAGTTTCCTTTTGGCTAATTTGGCTGATAGCAGCTGATACACTTCTTCCTTGTGAATTTCTGCAATCTGCTTTTAAAACTATCTGAATCTGTAGTCATCATTGTGGAAACTAATTCCATATTGACTGCACTATTCAATAATTTTATTGGATAACTCAGCTTTTTAGCAATAGCAATAGCACTTAGATTTACATAATGCTTCATAGTACTTTATAGCCCTTTCTAAGTGGTTTGCAGAGTCAGCATATTGCTTCCAACAATCTGGATCCTCATTTTACCAATCTTGGAAGGATGAAAGGCTGAGTCAACCTTGAGCCAGTCAGGATTGAACTCCTAGCACTGGGCAGAGTCAACAACAATACTGCATTCTAACCACTACACCACCATGGTTCTTTTATTATTTGAAATCCTCCACTTTTCCCATACTACCTTTTCTTTTTCTGTAACACAGAGGAGGTACTTTGATCAGTAGGTGGCAGACTATTCATCAATGAGGCTGTTAACCCGGGTTCTATATTTTGGAATGCCTTAGTATATAGTGTCTTCAGCTGCAGTATTAAAATGCAGGGTTATGATTCAATCACATACTGCAATACTAATTATACCATTTTTCTTTGTATCACTTCTGATTAATGTCATCCAACATTCATTTTTATCCCCTAAATTCATTATACACTATGGCCACATTTATTATTGCTCTAGTTTTCTTTCGCAGAGCTGTGAAACAGCTTCCTTACCTTGGCACACATTATGATCGTTTGCCTCATACCCAGCTGCACACTGTATCCGAGATGGTACCTGATCTGGAGGCGTCCGACGGATGATGGGATTACCATTTCTGCTACCAGTGTCTGATACTGTTTCTTCCTGACCATTATTGACAATGATCTGGGCTGATCTGGGTAGACAGAGGTATCCTCCAAAGTGATTAACACATTTCATTCCACCTTTACATGCTTCGTGCACAATTTCACACTCATCAATATCTGTGATTAGTAAAGACAAGAAGAAAAGGAGCTATTAAACAGAGTGAGCTCTATGTTCTTTGTTATGAATAATAATCTCAAATAAACAGTAGTTTTCAGGAAATTATCAATAATTAGTATAAAAAGTGGACTGATGAATGAACAACTATAAAACTAAGCATCGGATGACAAGTTCATGTTCTCTACTAGAGATGTGTCTATGGTTTTGAATAGGTAGTATAACAAACCCTACCTATACTGTAATACAGCAGACAGGCAATGCATTCTGATTTTGAGTGCACTATTAAAATATATATTTGATTTTGTAAATGTGTTCCCCTAACTAGAGTATATTGGAAGATGAACGCTACTCTGGAAAAGAGGAGTAGATTTATTTAATTATTTTTTTAAATGAAAGAAGGAAGGAGAGATGGAATCCTGGAACACATTTTCTAATCAGCAGTCATCAGGAAGGATCAGATTCTCTTACTATACCAGCCTTCCTGCCACATAGTAGCTTCCTTGTTGAAGCAATGGAGTCCAAGATTGATGGTATTGAGTGACTTTAATCAGCCTTCTCTTGACATGGGTCAGAGGTGGCTCATGTCACACTGTCTCCTTATAAGCTTCGGGATGCAATTCAGATCTCTAAAGCTATACATGGTACAGGTCTGGTTATCGGCAGAACCCTGTCTCCTTTTGTCTCTGTTCCACTAGATATGCTTTGGATCCCTTCTATGATCTAAGTCACTTTGTGGGATCCAAGAAACAGATTATCTCTATCAAGTGCTTTTCCTTTGGAACACCATATGCTCTGAGATTAAGATGGTCCTTACCCTGACAGTCTTTCATAAAGCCTTGAAAACCTGGTTTTCACCATAGAAGCCTGTTTTGTACTGAATTGGAATATATTTGTAGTCTTGGTTGTGGTGTATGTAATGTGCTTCTGTTTTTGTTTTATTATATTTTCTTTTAATGTTTTTAATTGTCTCTTAGCTAACAAGCTGCTTTCATGAGTTGGGCAGCCATATAAATTATTTAAATAAATCATTCATATCAAATATGACAGGACTGATGAACTATTCAGCCATATGTGTGCATTTTATAAAATTGTACACTTGTACAATCCAAAAAGAACAACCCATGTGGATCATTGTCATTGGATCAAAAAAGAAAAAAAAAAGTATCAGGAGGTGACTCAAAACACAGACAATTGGGACAACTACTGCTATTAAAGATATGGCTCCAAATTTGAATATATGAAAACCTCTACATTTTCCCCATTGCCTTCTCCATAAACAGCTTCCACTTGGAAATCTATGGACGAAATTTTATTATGCAAGATAAGTACTTCTGACAGATATGAAAATATTAATGCACAACTTAATATAGTATATACTGTACCTTTGCATCGCTGCATGAGGGGGTCCCATTCATAACCATCTGTGCATTGCTGCATAGAAAATAAACAAAATCCAGAAAAATAGATTAAATGCAGTGGTGTAAAGCCACAAAATGATTGATGAATAGGCATATTTTCATTCATCACAACTATATATTACTGCTTCCTACAAGATTTTGAAAGAATTTTTTCACAGCAATTATCAAAACATTATCCCTGTGGAGTTCTGCATTCAATCTTTTTATACCCCACGAATCTCTATATCATCTAGGCTGCTGCATGATCTTGCTGAAATTTTGTTGATAATACTTAGAAGACTCTTTAATTAATTTATCTGAAGAATCAAAGATTAATCTATCATTAATGCACGACACAATTATTTCCTAGATAGTTCAGTATTTTAATCATTTTTTACAATATTTTGTTTCTTACTTAAACCTCCTACCTCAGTCAGAACCATGTAAATTTAGTATCAGCCCTTAGCCTAGACCAGCCTCCTAGATTTGAATGGCAGAAGCCCAAGGTTTCCATTTCTGCGCTCTCCATATTAAAGACGCCACAGAGACTACGGGTAGTCCTCAAGTTATTAGCACAATTGCTAAGTGAAACATTGGTTAATGAATTTTGATCCATTTTACGACTTTTCTTGCCAAAGTTGTTAAGTGAATCATTGCAGCTGTTAAGTTAATAACCTGGTTTTTTAAGAATCTGGCTTCCCCATTGACTTTGCTTGTCAGAAGGCTGCAAAAGTTGATCACATCACTGCAGGACACTGCAACCATCATAAATATGAACCAGTTGCCAAGCATCTGAATTTTGATCACCTGACCATGGGGATGCTGCAACTGTTGTTTAGTGTGAAAAACGGTCATAAGTCACTTTTTCCAGTGCTGTTGTAACTTTGAACGGTCACTAAATGAACTATAAGTCAAGGACTACCTGTACATTACATTTGAACATACTTCTCCAACCTGGCATCCTCCTGAAGTATTGGATGACAACTTCTCAAATTGCCATAGTAGTAAGGAATCTTGTATCTTTAAGAAGTATCTCATAATTATCAAGTCATAAAACTAATGAGAATTATAATCCATATACTAAGATAACAGCAGATTGGGAAAATTGGCTTAGAAGAATAAGCATATTTTCAAGTCCCTGTCAGAACTTCCAACTAACTTTTCTTGGACTACCTTGGTTGGGTTTGGTATTCATTGACTTATATTTCATCAAAGATGTACACAAAATTTGCTTTGTGCTCTTTAAAACAAATGCTTTAAAAGAGTATTTCCTTAAAGCAGCTTTCTACATATCTGTGCCATTAGCTAAACTAGATTGCAGTTCTTGTTATCCTTTGATACATTGGAGCTGCAGTCCAAATTTCTGGAGGACACAAGGAATCTGCTCTAAGATATATTGCATCTAGGACACTTAAAGTTGAAACCAGCATTCTGAATTATGTTTGGATCTAACTGGCTACTGAAATAATGATTGTCTAGTAAAAGTGAAATTTCTGATTTAGATGCAGGGTTATTTGTTGGCAAGGCTTTCTAAATCATCTCACTGGAAATCGCAGATTCTCTGAATGAATAAAAAATAATATTTTTGAAAACTCTTTAACATACTATATTTTTCTCTCTCTTCCTCTCTCCCTTTAAAATATCATCTTTACCGTGTATGTGATAGTTTCATCTGCTTCTTGTGAGTGTCCTGTAGCAAGGATCAGAGCAGTAAGAATAGCAAAGATGACCATGATGAATCTAAAAATAAATAACATCCATTTTTAAAATGCTTGATATATACTCACACAAACATAGGCATCTCCATACGTTTTCTGTTACTTTCAGCTAAAAGTACCCTGCTATTCAATAAAACAATTAGTTAGGCTGCAGCATTTGAAATTGCTGTGTAAAATAATTCCCCTTTACCTAAATAAAAAACAAGGTTCCAGGAGAAAGATTCTAGCTTTCTTCATGCAGCTAATTATCAGAACAAAAAATCCATTCAATCGTGCAATTTCCCCAGACAGGGTTTTACCACTAAGAGCACAAGAAGAGCATGGCTGAAAGCACCCTTCTGAATTTAACAGGTTTTGTAAAGAAAAAAAAACCATCATTCAACTAGCTTATTGGATGGCCAGTCACAGGCAAAAGAACCCGCACTCTGTCTACTAATTATATTTAAATGTGTTCATTACAGTATGCGCACAATATTTACAATGCTGCTACAGAATAGCATCCATTTGGTAAATAAATTAAAAGGTGACTATTTAGTTTGTTGTTAGCGTTACTAAAATACACACAGATATGATGTTCAAGTGACCTGCTCCATCACTGATGTGCTCCATCAGATATGACATGCTCCATCACTGGAGATTTTTAAGAAGAGATTGGACAACCATTTGTCTGAAATGGTACAGGTCTCCTGCTTGAGCAGGGGGTTGGACTAGAAGACCTCCAAGGTCACTCCTAGTGGTCAATCACTTAAATATGAGCCAGCAGTGTGCTGCAGCTGCCAAAAAAGCCAACACAGTGCTAGGCTACATTAGCAGAGGGATAGAATCAAGATCACGTGAAGTGTTAATACCACTTTGCAATGCCTTGGTAAGGCCACACTTGGAATACTGCATCCAGTTTTGGTCACCTCGATATAAAAAAGATGTTGACACTCTAGAAAGAGTACAAAGAAAAGCAACAAAGATGATTAGGGGACTGCAGGCTAAAACATATAAGGAATGGTTGCTAGAATTAGGTATGTCTAGTTTAATGAAGAGAAGGATGAGGGGTGACATGATAGCAGTGTTCCAATATCTCAGGGGCTGCCACAAAGAGGGAGTCAAGCTATTCTCCAAAGCACCTGAAGGCAAGACAAGAAGCAACGGATGGAAACTAACCAAAGAGAAAAGCAATGTAGAACTAAGGAGAAATTTTCTGACAGTTAGAACAATTAATCACTGGAACAACCTGCCTCCAGAAGCTGTGAATGCTCCAACACTGGAAGTTTTTAAGAAGAGACTGGACAATTATTTGTCTGAAATGATTTAGTGTTTCCTGCCAGAGCAAGGGGTTGGACTAGATGACCTCCAAGGTCCCTTCTAACTTTCCTCCTCCTCCTCCTCCTCCTCCTCCTCCTCCTCCTCCTCCTCCTCCTCATTGATCATCGCACAGTCAGCCAGATGTTCAGACTGGATTTGGCATTTTTCTCTATCTATCGAGTCCTTCCCAAGGACCTGGGATAGGCAGATGTGGATGTTTGATGGTATTACAGATATCGTCGCAGGATGCAAGCAGTTCCTAGTAAGGCTGCCTTTTGCAATTGACTAATGGCGAATTTGTCAATGCCAATGGTGTTCAAGTAGTGCTCCAGTTGTTTTGGGATTGCACCCAAGGTGCCTATTACTATTGGTACTACCCTTGCTTGCCTTTGCCACAGTCTTTCCATTTCTAATTGTAGGTTTTTGTATTTTTTTATCTTCTCCAGTACTTTCTCGTCTATTCTGCTGTCTCCAGGCACTGCCATGTCCACTATCCAGACTTTTTTGTCATTGTTGTTGTTGTTGTTGTTAATAATAATAATAATAATAATAATAATAATTCAACTCTATTATTCTGTTACACAAATATTGGAAGATTTTATGAAACTTCCCCCCAAGACAGAAGACAGAGCAGAGCTGCTGGGATAAATTATGGGGAAGGGTTCCGAGGCATATAGCCCTAAAGGAAGTGGGCATTAGTATATTTCCAGAATTGGAAATAAAAATATAAGCATTATAATAAAGCAAAACAGATTGTGCCCAATATCTTATTTAAAGCAACATTATTTATGTAACCACAAAGCACTTTTGTGAAATCCAAACATTTAAAACAGTTTATTTTTTTAACTTTTATGGAAACAAATTAAACACCTGGAGTCATTCTAAATGTGGTAGTATAACTGCTGTAATTAAATACCAGATATAAGCAAACACAGAACAACAATCCAAAGAACAAAAATGAAATCAATCATTTAATATTTTGTTGGCCAAAAACTTTCAGTACTGTTAACAAAACTCTCTGGGTTTTAATTTAAGCCACAGTGGCGCAACTGGTGACTCTGGGCCAGTCCAAAGTAGGTCACAAGGTTGTGGTTGCAGAAAAACTAGGACCTTGAGTACCTAAATGTAAAGTAGGGTATACAATAAAATAATACAATAATGAAAATAAAATACTGTTCCACTGATCACATTGGGACTTCCCAATAAATATGAATAGGACTGCAGTGTGGAAGTGCTTAAACGAAGATCTAGTCAGGGAAAAAAAACTGTATCTTTGTGAGGACTAATAGCTTCAAAAACTCAGGATCTGCATTTACTCAAATCCCATCTTTAAATTTTGTTTAACTTGTCTGTGTCTTCACTGTCAACTGAAAGTTGAGAGTCAATAATAAGTAAAGTGACTTACATAAGAAAAGGGACACAGGAAACACATATCTTAGCACATAACAACTAAGCAAAGTCCCCCACTCCTTACTGGCATTGCCAAAGAAGACTGAAGTGCCATGGTGCATGCATGGCAGGGAAAAAAAGTCAAGAGGTACAATAAAAGGGTTTCAATTGCAAGGTTGCAGTCACCGCCTTAATATTTTCAAATAAATATATAATTAATAACACCTTCTATCCCTCATCTCCCTGGCTTTGGTCAGTTTACAGGTCACACTGACTTTACCCTTTGAGTCAATTTCAGTATGTTGTGCGGAAGAGCCATTAGTCATTTCCACTGACAAACCATCCTTCCAACTCAGTTAAAAAGCTCACACGGCTTCCCTTGGTGGGCAGATACAATACTGGCTTTCCTGCCATCAATCTCATTTTCTCTCACTCCCAGGAAACAGCAAGGCTTTATCAGATTTTTTTTTATCATCTCTATGAGTATCCAGTTTTCTTCTTCCTATCCTAGTGCTTTCTCACAGGTGCAGGGACTGCTTTTTGTATCAACAAACGTCATTTCACGTAACTCTACCAATATACAGTACTGACTGCTTTCGCCACAATCAACCTAGTTGTAATTATTTTAAATTGTCTTGATGTGAATATAGAAAAGCTGATTAAAATATTAAGAAAGTGATCTGGATATGCACTAACAATAGTAGTTTCTACATCTGGTTCTTACTCTGTACTGACTGTACCATTTTGTGACAGGCAGTGACTCCATACTTGATTTTCTGACAGTAAAAGCCATTGATCCAAGCAAAAATAACTAAGCAAAACTAACTTCTTAGTAGGAAAGTATTACTGCAGTGTGAATATCCCTTAAATGAAGAAAGATTTATTTGACCAAGTGTCTAGTATAACTATACATGAAATAAGTAGCAGGTAAGGGGCTATTAGCATGTAAAACTGTGTTCCTCAATCACAGCAATTTGAAGATGTCTGGACTTCAACTCCCAGAATTCTCCAGCAAATATGCTGGCTGGGAAATTCTGGGAGTTGTAGTCCACAGATCTTCTAAATTGCTGAGAAACATCGACGAAAAGATAAAGCAATAAAAACATGTCTTCCCTTCCCTTAGTTTCTAAAAAATTGGTTAGCAGGATGCATGGTAGCAGGGCTGGCAGAGCTACTCTGTATGAGCGCATCCCTTCAAAGTGTGCACTGGTTTGAACGAACCATACGAAGTGCACCAAACCTCTTTTCTCTCTCGAAAAAGAAAAAGGGAGGGAGATTTCAAGCAACACATATAAATAAAACTTTGTGAAAAAATATTTTTTTCTATTCATGAGCTTCAAAGTTTTGACAGCATCTGGAATTAAAGCCTGAACTTCTGAATTGCTATGGAATTGGATTAAAAAACATATGATCTCATAATCACATCTCCATACCAACTCTTCAGATGTAACATAGAATTGGAAACAAAACTAAGGGTTTTTAAAAAGAAGGATGTGTAAAACTAAGGGGGGGGATCCACCCTCTTGCTCCCCCCCCATTTATATATCATTGATCATTCTGGCAAATGTTGCAACAAGACTGTTTCTAAATGACTCAAATATTAACTGTTTGCTATATACAGATGTTTTGGTCCTGTTACAGGAGCAGGCAACAGCCCAGGATTGGGAGGTGGTGTCATTTCAGGCCTTAGAGATTTACTTTGTGATTTCATGAAACAGTTTTTTCATCCCAAGGTCATTTCTCATGGTGCACTTCATCCACTTTCTACCATCCAAGTTGAGACACTGCCAAATAATTGTTTGTAAATAGCAACAGGCCCTCTGGCAAAATTCTGTTGTGTTTCTTACTTATTGACTCCCATATGAAGCAAAACTGTAGGAAATATTTAAGTGGAGACCTTTAATTGTTGTTAAGTGAGAAGTGAGAATCAGGGAGAAGAAGAGGGTAAAAAAAACGTATTTGTTTTATGGCTCTTCCAGAGTTGATGGGTAGAACCAGTGTTAGTATCATTCAGGGGCATCTTTTTGCAGGACGGAATAAAAACAAGATGGAGTCGAAACCCTCCCTGCACATAAAACGGTTTTTTTTCCCCACAGGCACCATCTTGATATTTTTATCATCTCCCTGTGGACAACCTTGGTGACATTTGAATACAACTTAGGACAGCATCAATCACAGTCCAACACTGAGCAGCACACAAATGATTGCCAACCAAAACATTCACAAATGGGGAAAATCATCTAGGTAAAAAAACACTTAGAGAACATTTATCCCCCTTGCTCCAAATTAACTGAAGCAAAAACATTTAAACAATTGTGTTGTACTTAGTGGATTCTA